GTTCGGAATAAAATATAATACGTCATTGGTAGTTGCTTGAAAGATTAATTCCTCGTCTAAAAAATTGTCGGAATAAATTTAAAGATAAATTGAAATATAAAAATAAAATTATATTCAATACTAATATTAAAAATAGTTTATTGAAAAGATAAATTTGAATATATCTAAATTAAGATAAATTGTATAAAATAAATATAAGTGTTAAATTTTAAGCTTCATAAATAAATCATATCTTTTTTAAAATGAATAAAATAGAACCCATTTATTAATTTACATAGTAAGGTTAGTTTAGAATTTAAATCTAATTGTTTCTTAGATAATTATAAGTACTGATATATTATTAACTATTAAATGAGACTAAAACATTTATTACGAGTACAGCAACATTAATTTATTTTATTATTAGGTTTGAGTTTAATTACAGCTTAAATTTAATAAAACTCTTAAAATAAGTTAATCTCTAAATTTCTTGTAAAAAAATATTTTATTTTAATTATTTATTTTTTCATTAATTCTATATCTATTTTATTACCCGAGCAAAACTCATCATTTGCATTTAAAAATGTTACATCCAAATAAGTTCACAAATAATTTTAAATTTTAAATAAATACTTAACAAAACCAATTATTTTAAATAGAATATGTTAACTTATGCAACTTTTAATATACGTTACGAAACCAACAAACGCAAATATCAATCCTTTCAAAAATTGCAGCAAAATAGTAGGTCTGTTCCACGAGCTACTCATAGTAATACTCAAGTAAAACACAAGTAAAATTTATACGAAAATACACGAAAGATTTGCTGGTGGAACGCACTTGTGTATACACAGTTTTACTCGAAGTTACTAGGAGTAGCTCGTGGAACAGACCTAATATTTATTATTTCAAACAAGTGTGAAATTTACAATTGTGGAATTGTGAAATTGTGAAATAAAATCTGTGTGCGTGCAATTTTTTTCTTAACACCGCAAATGTGCGTGTGCGTATTTTAAAAACAATTTCCACTCGCACAGTGGTGTGCGATTTTGTGCACCACAGTCCGCTGCACCACTCTGTTTTAAACCATGTGCACATGTATATTCATATAAAAATGTACGAAATATACCATCGTATATAATAATATAATATAATCCATAATAATATTATAGATAATTATATTTGAGATAATTATATCTGCAACAAATTGAGCTAAATTAAAGCGAGTGGTAACGAGTGTATCCAATTCTGCGCTGCGAATCACTACGCAACAGTTTGTTGTTAGCGATAGTTTACCATCTTTAATTAAATCGACGCTAATCATTCGATGCTGTCATATCTTTCTTTCATACTGATCATCACTTCATGCAATTTCGAAGATTTGATTAAGGCGAGTTAAAATCATAGATATTAATTTTTTTGCGCAGATGTACATTAACTATATCACAATCTATCATTTGCGGTTAAGTGCTTAAAGAAGTTCAAATTAAGTTCGTTTAAGTGGTACCTGTGAATAAAAATGTACGTCTTTTTTGGTTCTACAATTATTGTGAAATGAACAGAATTTTTAAAAACTGAATTGCGCTATTTGGAAAATTATTTTTTAAATGAAATTAATTATTGCCTAAAATTTTGCTAATATTTTGCTAATTGTGCAATAACTAATAATTGTGCAATGCTAATTGTGCATATAACATGTTCTATTTTTTTTGTTGTTTTTGCTGAGCGTCGTTTCGGTGAACTGTAAACTTTGTCGTCTGTCCTTTTTTCCACGTAAGGAACAGTGGTACAAAAAAGAATAAAAAGGAATAAAAAAGCAGCAGTTTTCGAAGCAACTGGTAGTAGAAATGAATGATTAGAAAACGTATAAATTCATGCTTTGCTTTCAATTTTAAATATATAAAATTATATATTTACTTTAATGGTAATTTATTTAATGGTTTTTGTTGTTGTTGAATGGTCTAATATGCAACTTATATGCAATTTTCATTCCATGCAGTTGCACATAATAAAGAAAACATTCGCATATACAAGTGTATATGTATGTGTGTACAGTTGTGTATAAATATTTTTTTTCTTAGCACTTAGAATGTCGAACAATTGTCAAAATGTGCTGCCATCGGCGACGCAATAAGTGGAAGCCGCTTTGCTTTACGAAGAATTAAAATTCCAATAAATTTTGGAGTTGCTTTTTGCACAAATGCATGTGAAAATAATTAAAAACATAATTTCATTTTAAAGTTTTAATACATCTTTAGAATGCAACGCGGAAGAGGTGCGGAATATAGAGGTGGTGGAGGAGATCGCGGAAGAAGTTCTGAAAATAGAGGAGGAGACAGAGATAGACGTGGCGGCGATAATGGTGGTGGTGGCGGCGGCGGCTATCGTGGCAACCGCGGTGATGGTGATGGTGGTGGCATCCGTGGCTGACAACCTCGCGGCGGCGGTGATGGCCAACGTGGTGAACAACGCGGTGGTGCAGAGCGTAGACCTGACATGTATCGTGGGCGCGGTGATGGACTTGGCAGTTATCCTGCCTCTGAATCATCTGTAAGTAAGAACAAATTTAAGATTTAAAGAGACTTGATTTAATTAATTTTTATTCATTTGATATTAGAGTTTTGGTAGTTTGCCGTCAACAGCAAGTTGTGGATCTTCTCATCAGTCCGATGTGTCCATTTCCAGTATTTTCATGAGTATGCCATAAAATATATTATTTAACCAGACTTATGTTGACGTAAATATTTTCCTTTAGTTCTCCCAGTGGTTCTCCCAGTTCAAACGTTCACCAAAGTCATGATAACACTGAGGCAGCAACTATTGGTATGCAGATTATGACAATAATTATGATTGTTCTTTCTATGATATTTTATATTGTTTCTTTGTGTTGTTATATCCATATCTATAGCTGCAATTGACCAAATACGTGGCATGCGGGGAAAACGTATTTTAACTGACGTTATACAACATATTCGACCAGTGTCGTGCGTAAATAAGCAAGGTGCAGTTGGTCGTCCAGTTATGGTTCAGACGAACTATTTTCGTCTATTAAGAACACCGAAATCGGTTATACATCAGTACCGTGTTGATTTTGCACCAGAAGTCGATTTGTTACATGTACGTCGTGGAATGATAGGACAGTATTAAGATTTGTTAAGAGGTTACGTTTTTGATGGTACTTTGCTATTTTCTACACAAAATCTGAAAAGTATAATGGTAAATGATGTCCATAAGATACTAACAAAGGATCGTGCAGGAAATACAGTACAAGTTAACAGCGGCTTTAGAAAATGTAGGATTTTTTGAGCAGCTATTCCGTTCGCATTTCATTTGTTTATACCAATTGAGCCGTTTGTCAAATGTGACCCCCAGATATTTTATGCTTACCTCCAACCGTAAATCCGCGTAACCGACGCTCACACTTGGAGGATGCTGCCTTCTCTTTCGTATTATGAATATGGCCTTGGTTTTGTTATTGTTAATTTTAATCTTCCATTTCTGTAAGTATTTCACCATGAGGTCAATATTTCTGGACGGAATGTACGTGAAGCTCAGAACTTCGTTAAAACATGTCAACGTGTAGCTAGCGGCATGAAGATGCAAATTGATGAACCAAAGTAGTAAGTAATTAACTAAATGTGTATATCTGAATAACTAGTTCAGTTATTTAAATATATTTTAAAACACTAAGCGATGCAGTCGTTTTAATATATTTTTTTTGGTCACACATATTTTTCATCAGTCATTTTTTGGTCAATCATTTTTTTGGTCAAACGTGTTTTTCGTCAATCATTTTTTAGATCTATCATTTTTTAGTCAAACATATTTTTGGTCAATCCATTTTTTGGTCAGCCACTTTTTTGGTTCATCATTTTTTTCGTTCAACATATATTTAGTTCGTTCAACATATTTTAGGTTAGTTTATACTGGCAATCCTAATTGGCCCACTTGGGCCAATTGATGGTTTACCGTATAAGAACACAAAGCTTTAAAAACTACCTCGACCCTGTGACAAAGCCTAAAATGCTCTTTGAAGAGTTTAATGTGCAACTAATTTGCTATTTATATTATGAAATATAATTCATTTTCCTTTAGTAACAAATATGATTAGAAAGGATAATATGCTAGCTGAATTATTAGATTAGGTTAACACTTTTCTTTTATATTAATACCAAAAGCTAGTTTATTTCTTTATGCATCTAAACGTATGCCATCTAAGTTTGCCACCATCTTCATCTTTAGGCATCTTTATTGCAAAAGTCAGCAGAATGAAGGACAGAATAAAGATACCTACCTTTAAACTGTATGAAAAGGACTGAAATTTAGTGTGGGCCGCGTTGGAGGAACTTAGTTTCGGGAATGTATGTCCTGGAGCCATTTGTCTAACCCGACGACCAAGCGTTTGTGACCATGTTATCATGTTGATGTCGTATTAACCAGTGCGTATCTGTAAAGAAGAAGAAATTACACGACGATACATGTTTTTTAGGATGTGGGTGGGTGACTGATGAGTCAAGGTGAGGAAGATTATAGGGATTGGGGATATATTTTGGTTAAGCTTGCCATACTCGTAACGTGTTTTGATTGCAAATAGTACAGTTCCACGATAAGTAATTCCAAAATCTTTTGCTTAAACAGACCTTTAGAAATATTTGAACGATATGTTTTTGTGCCCAACTCACAAAAATCTGGGACGAAGATCTTCTTCAATTCTAACTCGTATGATGACATTTAAAGTCACCTATCCAACATAATTATATCGCAATTACAATATGTATATATAGTATTTAGATATTCAGCTATTTTGATGTTTTTTTAATGTTCTTTTGTATTTTATTTTAAAGTATCGAAATGAAGGATGACAGAAATAATTCTTATGCTTTAGCTATAAATGCTGCTGCATCTCAAGATCCGCAGATCGTTATGGCGGTTCTTTTCAGTCCCAACGAAGAAAAGTAAATATTAAATATTTCTAAATAATCACGACATTGTTGATATTATTTATTGATTTGCAGATATGCTGTAATTAAGAAAAAATGTTGCGTTGATAGAGTAGTTGCTTCATAAGTTGTGACTATGAAGGTTATTGCACCTCGTCCAGAAAAATTGGCTGGTCTGATGTCAATAGCAACGAAGGTTGTCATACAAATGAACGCTAAATTGCGTGGAACTCCATGGATGATTGATATGCCTAATCTTGGTATTATGACATGCGGTTTTGATGTATATCATTCAACTAAAAATAAAAATAACTCATATGGCGCATTTGTTTCAACAATGGACATAAAGAAGTCATCAAGATATTATTAATTAGTCCAAGAACATGTAAAAGGCCAAGAATTATCAAATTATTTAACGCTAAGTGTAGCGAACGCTTTACGGGCATTTAAAGAGGAGCATCAATGCTTACCTGAACGTATAGTATTTTATCGTGCTGGAGTTGGTGATGGTCAGCTGCACCAAATTGTAAACCATGAAGTTAAAGCTCTAGTCAATAGATTAGACGAAATATATAGTAGCGTTGGAAGTGCACTTCCACGCTCTGCATTTATAGTTGCATCTAAAAGAATCAACACACGATACTTTCTTAAAGGTCGCAATCCTCCACCTGGTACCGTTGTGAACGATATTATTACTTTACCAGAGCGTTATGACTTTTATTAAGTGTCGCAGTCTATATTCCAAGGTACGGTTTCACCTACCAACTACAACGTTATACACGATACAACTGGATTTAAGCCAGAACATATTCAAATGCTAACTTATAAAATGACGCACATATATGGTATTATAATTGGGCTGGTACCTGCCGCGTACCAGCAGTGTGTCAATATGCTCATAAATTGGCATTCTTGGTAGGTGAAAACATCAACCGTGCTCCATCTACTGCACTCGAAAAGAATTTATATTTGTTGTAAGAAATATTTTTTCCGTATAATTATATTTAATTTTTATTTTTTATTAGTTGACGGCGGTGGAGACGCTACAAATTCACTTTTTATTTAATTTGTTGCACACTGAGGTAACATAAGTGCTAAAATAATACCTCATACTTGAGTTTAATGAACAAACTATTAGTAACTATTTGCTTTAATTTGAATATTTTTATATAAAAAACAAACGAAATATAAAAAATTTGAATTGAATTCAAAGAAAAACATTTAGATTCCATTTTTGTTTGGTGTACTTTACCTCACAACTCGAATGTTGTAGATATTTTTCCTATGAGGACACTCCAAATGTTCCTGAAATAATTTACCAAAATATGAATCTGTTTTTGTTTGAATATTTTATAGAATAAGAATATTATAATAATATTATCGTATCCATTAAGTTTGTTTTTGCGAATTGATTTCCTTTTGAAAACTCACACACTTTTTTAATCTCGTTACATTTTATAAATTTTTTGAATAAGCTATTAACGAACATATAATCTAGAGTTTTTTTTTTTTGATCTTATAGAATCCTTTCTGGTATCATCATTTAATATAAACTATGGTAAATATTGAAGAACTAATTATTCATTAATACAAACTTTAGTATTTTAATTTATAATTTTCCCTCTGATAGCACGATGCTTGTGTGCTGGAAACTTCAGCGCATTGGGTATGTTTTTAAATCTATCTACAAACACTCTCGTCTACAAATACTCCTAAAAATGCACGGCAAAGAGTTACGGGTTCAAGGGTAAAGAGGACCGGCAATAAAGCTTTATAAATTCCTTAGATTCGTAAAAATGTCTACTACAAATTTGCATATAGTAAAGATTTGAAGTAGACATTTTTGTCCGGAACCTTTAGGTCTATATGAAGTTTCTAACTAGTCAGATAAACCTATGCAAGGTTAGGTTATACTGGCGATCCCTAGTGGATCCACAATAGGCCTATTGGCCCATTGTATTACCGTATATATAAGAAAAACTCATGATTTAAGACCAGCTAGAATCTTTGGCGAAGCATAAAATGCTATTTAACCAAACAGATTAATATTTTATGTACTAAATAACATATTATATTTAATTATACATTAATTTTAATATTAATAAAATTTACGTTAATTTTTATTTTATACAACAAATACTTTTATAAGAAACTCATTTGTCGTTCATTCAATGTTACAACAGGTGTAAAGCGCGCCCATAAACCAGCGTCCTGTCCTGGTTTTACATATGGAAAAGTAGTGATGATCGACGTGGTTCAAGTTGAAACTTAAATACTTATTATAATTGAAATCTTAATCACATTGTCAGTGAAGTGACTCTGTCCTAACTCTTCCCAGTTAAAATTTGTGATAGAGAAGCGACCTGAACTTGTTTGAAAGAGTGAACTGTACCTGGTCGGCTGTGAAAATGGATTGACTACAACAACAACGAAATGAAAAAGGGTAGATAGAGAAAGGGTATTTGTTTCGAAATGATATAAGTGAAGGGGATCAGTTCTACGAATCTTACTTTGAAAAAATTAAAAATATCAATTTTATTGAATCTACTAAAAATCAACTTAGAACTAACAATAAATTATCGCTGCTAATTACTGTATAAGAAGAGAAAATAGATAATTAATTGTCCTTATCCAAAGCTTCGTCCAATTTCGTTTACATGTCGGACATTATTCTTTAATAGCCGGGTTTATATAGTTCCTTTTGAGACGCTGGGTTCCAGTGCTTTGAGTAAGATTGGTTGCAAGTGGGTTTTGGTGGTTCCTGAGTTTGATTTTGTACTTCTGTGTGTGGCTGACTACTTTATAAAATTTTATTTAATAGTAAGTTATACATAAGGAAATAAGATTCTGTAGTAAGGCTAATTGAGAATCTAATTTATCTAATTGCCTGTTTCATAATTAAAAGTACTTAGGAAATAACAGGGTACTAGCTCCCATTTGAGCAGAGCACTGCGACCATGATTGATCTTTTGTGCTATTAAAAGTACTTGCATAATATTAAATATAAAAAGCAAACTAAAATATTTATTACAGCAACATAAATCTATTTCACTATTAGGTTTAACTCAATTTTTTAAAAATGTCACACCTTCGTACAAATCTTCAATCGTGAGCCATCGTATGAGAAGAGCTTCTTGCCGCCTCATGAGTTGTGAGCAGAATGAGCCGAAAAGAGATCTTTGACTTAATATCTATATTTAAAAAATAACTAAACAAATTTTTTAAGTCTTGTGTTTAACCCTGCTATACTCTGAGTATACCCCAGCTTTGGAAAGAGCCGGCAAAGGTTATTACAAAATATAAAATTACATTTTATTACATTACATCCTTTTATTTTGGTCTTGATAAAATAAGCAGTCTCAGGAAATCGTCAAAATTGACTGCAATAAAAGGTAGTAGCGATCACAGAAAATAAGAAAACCGTACAGACACTGTTCGTGCCAACGGTAGAAGCATAAAACCTCACTTAAAGATGTAGGTCAAAGACCTAAAGAAGCAGTTACTAAACGGGCATCAAGTGTAAATTATTGGATCAGGAACTTGGCACCAACTAAGTCATACACAGAATTTCGTTTAAATTTATACTAGTTATGAGTAATATAATATTTTATTTTCCTTAAAATTTTTTTTTTATTTTTTATATTATAGAAAAATTATAGATTTCAATTTTCTTGTATAACTTGTAAGAATTGTTTTTTAATAAAGTTTTATAATTAATGTGCTTAGTTTTATGATTTCATTTATACATTTGAGTTTTATTCAAATTGAAAACAAAAAATGCGTTTGTATTCTGTGAGAAGACCTTACTAAAATGATAACTAACCTTATAATTATTATTGTAAGTGAATAAGTGGAAGAATTTAGTAATCTACAATAATAAAAAAATATTTTAATGGCAGTATTTTCAAATTCCCAAAAATGAGATATTATGCCGAAGCCGCATTTTATTGTTTATAAGTCGAGTGACATATTTTGAATCGTTAGCATTATAAGTATATGTCCCACCCTACACTCAATTCCATATTTTAGTTCTGAATAAAATAAACTATAATACACACATTTTAATCATTGGATTTATGAACATTCCAGAACAGAAGACAGCAACTTTTAAGTACAAAAGCCATATTATTAGCAAATGCTATTATTAGATGTAGAAAGGTTATACAACGAGCAGATATAGGTATAACTTAACATACTTGCATATAAGAGGTACAGCTAAACATATTTGCATACAAAATAGCAAAATATTATTTTAATAGTATATATAATACCACAAATTTTCAATCCAATTCAGGGTCTGAAATTAACTTTCTACCCATTTACAACAATAAATTCGGTTTCGGCTGATATAAAAATTAAAAAAGGTTTTTTATTTTTTCAAAATAAAATAAAATAAAAAAAACTCATAAGTTAGATACGTATCCAAAGTAACATAAATATATAAAAGTCTATTATAATTAATTGTCGTATAGAGATTTTATATAATGAAGCCACATTAGTTTTATGTCGTTCTACAAATGAATCGACGGCTCAAAACAATTTCAACACTTCTGTATGTGTTCTGTGATTAACAGAATTTTTTCAATAAGTTATGAACAAGAATTGCCATATCCACATTATAAAATTATATTGTATCAAGGCTACCATATTTATTTTTATTATTGATAGATACGTAATGATTTTGTTGCTACGTTACACAGTTTATAAAGATATATCCAATAGAATTTTCTTCAGCAACATGGATTCAACCTACTGGAAACGAAATTATACTTCCTTTGAATTTTAAATCTAAAAAACAAATTAAATCAGGTTTTCCTAGAGATTTAAAAAGTTTTGACTTAGCATATTTGACAACATTTTCTTCATAATTTTTCAGAAACAATTTTGTGTTTATCTATTCAAAATTCCCGGTCACTTCAAAACATGTTTCGAACTTTCTTCAACAAAATTTTTTAATATTTAGGGTATCAAGAAGTATATAAGGAAATAAGATATTTGCTAACGTGCCATTGACAAGGTGTACAAGAATATATACAGTCCGAAGATAACATTCGGAATGCAACTATCACGTTTTCCTATATGTAATAAATCGTAATTCACGCTTAACAACAATTTCTCGTTGGGACATAAACTTCTAATTGGGATCCAAAGTAAGTTTATCGGTTGTTTTAAGACTCCATTAATCAATGTGCTAAAGTCAAAGAACGAAAGTCGTAAAGTTCACTTTGAGATTTCATAACCTAAACGTTGACTCAAGCTCTTAGTGTATAAAAATTTATTATACCTATATTATTCATACTAGGTTGTGAAAAAAGTATTCTGCAGACTACATATGTATATAAAATAACAATGATTGATTACTGTCACAGTAGTCTGTCTGCGCGATTGGAGCTGACCTTCGCGGTCACTGGCTTTGTTTTTTCTTTCTTTCCCTTTTTCCGCCGACAGGCTTTCATTTGAAAGCATATAGAGCACCAGGTTTAGGCGGCCTCAGCCAATGTCGAGAGGTTGTTTCGACCTATGTGAAGAAAAAAATTCATCCGTAAAGAATTTAATTTTCCCTCTACCACCCATTTTTGAGAAACGTGCACGGATCCGCCATTTGGATACCCGCATTCTGGTGATTTTATATACACTTCAACGGAATTTATATAAAATATGCCTATTTCGAAATATGATTTTTATTCCCGCAGGAAGTTTTGTTGAGTGTAAGTTTTAATAATTTTTTATGACATCGTTCTTGTAGATCAGATATCAAACATGTAGTAAAACTGCATGACAGATACTGACAGTTTTGTATAAATTACAAATACTCAGTTAATGACTGTAAATGCTAATAAACTTATTTTAGAGGCGGTTATTTTTGTTTTTTAAAATATACTAACTTTTATTTCGAAAATTTTTTTGTGTATCTCTACACGTGTTTCGGCAAATTCGCTTTTGCCTTCATCAGGAGAATTCCTAATATTAAAAAAACTTTCGAAATAAAAGTTAGTATATCTTAAAAAACAAAAATAACCGCATTTAAACATTTTCGAAGTAAGGACTCAAAAATTAAAACAAAAATAAATTATTTTAGAGAGTCTTGAGATAACGTCTTTCGAGAAAACGTTCAATAAACAATTAACATAATAATATGGAATATGTGAAATCAATGAAATAATTCTAAAAATTGAGTTTGTCTAGTAATATGCTAAAAATTTTTTCTCCACAATAAATTTTGCTTTAGAACACGAGTTTTGTAACAAGAATTGTTGGCCTGACGTATACTAGATATTTAATACATAATCATTTAATAAACAAGTGAAAATGATTAAAAGTTCGATATCTGGCAATGCCACTAAACCTGAAAGTATAACATTAAAATATAAAGATGATGGAACGTCTGTGTCACCTAAGGATAAACAATATGGAGGAGATACAATATTTCAAAATAATGATTGCCCCTTAACAAGAGAACAATTCTTAAGAGCAAGACAGAAATTTGTTCTTCTTGAAAATGCAAATAGTACAAACGATAGGAATGCCTCAGCAGGAAAAGATGTTAATAAAAACAAAAACAGTTCCAAACCAGTTGAAGCAAATAGAAATCTTTCGAAGGAGTTTGCAGAGACAAGTTACTCAACCATTAACACTGAACATGAAATCAACTCTCCATTTCAGCCTCTACTCTATGAGGGATCAGCCTCCACAGTCTCACCTGTAGAATTGAATACAATAGGTACAACTGACCTTCAAAGAGAATTTGATTTTAAAACGATACGAAATAAATTTAAAAATTGGGCGGAAACGCCAATGGTACTACCTAATGAAAAGCCATGCTTGAGTAAAGAATGTAGTGGTAAGTATTTTGTTTAGGAACAAGAACGCATTTTTATACATATGTATTATGAAATCCATATTAAAATATGAATAATATGAATAATATTAAAAGTTTTGTTTGGAATAGGTACAACGGACCTCCAAAAAGAATTTGATTTTAAAACGATACGAAATAAATTTAAAAATTGGGCGGAAACGCCAATGGTACTAAATAATGAAAAGCCATGCTGCAGTAAAGAATGTAGTGGTAAGTATTCTATTTAGGAACAAGAACGCATTTTTATACATATGTATTATGAAATCCATATTAAAATATGAATAATATGAATAATATTAAAAGTTTTGTTTGGAATAGGTACAACGGACCTCCAAAAAGAATTTGATTTTAAAACGATACGAAATAAATTTAAAAATTGGGCGGAAACGCCAATGGTACTAAATAATGAAAAGCCATGCTCAGTAAAGAATGTAGTGGTAAGTATTTTATTTAGGAACAAGAACGCATTTTTATACATATGTATTATGAAATCCATATTAAAATATGAATAATATGAATAATATTAAAAGTTTTGTTTGGAATAGGTACAACGGACCTCCAAAAAGAATGTGTTTTTAAAAGGATACGAAATAAATTTAAAAATTGGGCGGAGCCCAAAATCGATAACGTAAAGAGGTTAATAGCTAAACTCAAAAGAAAAACCAAGACTAGTGAACACGATGGAAGAGATCAAGTGAAAAAGAAGAAGGAATATGGCAAGATGATTTATGAGGAAAATAACACAAAAAATGATGAAGGCAATAACCATCGGACCAACCCGAAATAGTATCAAACTTGTGCCAAAAAACCAATGAAAAAAGTTGCTCAACTACTACTTCTTAATTTTGGACTCACTTAACAAATCATATCCAAATAATGTCATCAACTAACATTAGGTTAAATTCTCATACCCGGATAATAATGACTAATTAATATTTACTAAGTAAATGTATGAATACCATAGTATACAAAAGTCATCTTGAAAACCTTAACACCCAAAACCCACATCCCAAACCCCAAACCTTAAACACCATTCAACTTTTATCTTAATAAATAAACACATGCATGAATTACGAACCAACAAGAGCTTTTATTTTATTTACCAGCAAAAGTGGATATCACTCGTTTTATTCAAAATAATAGGATAGTAATAGGGTAATAAATAAAAGAAACTCATTACAGAAGTAATAACTTAGTGTTTCCCAGCTATAGAATTGGTTAGAACGTGGAGTGTCTCACAAGCTTGTCATCTGACAAACAAATAAAAGATTGCCTAATATGACTAATCGTTCAAAAGTTACTGCTCTTTAAGGTCAACTTGCGATCAATCGATCACAAGTTTCTGTTCTTTAAACGTCGAAATAAAACTCGATGAATACTCTTTGTCCACGCATCAGCCCACATGCATCAGTGGGAACACGTACGTGAAAATCTAATTCTTCTGCGAATATTCTGTTACTTAGATCAATAACTTTTTCACTTGCCAGCAATACTAACTATGCGGTGCGTAAATTAAAATCATTCATTAATAATTAATCTTTATTTCACAATTTTATTTAATTCAATTAAACTATATTTAGATAGAAAAAATACTTCTTGATATTAGTAATTGAGATCAGTTGCAGGTTGGTGCTAAAATAGCATTGGACAAGATAGGAAAAAGACTCGAATATATTACTGAATAATTGTAATATCGAATTATATAAAAGTCCTCTATACGTACAGACGTGTTTTATAGTGCTCTTACAAAGTTTTACTAGTTAGCTGGTGTTTAGCGCTACAACTACCTTTGTATGTAAGTCTTCAGTACAAAAAATCAAAGTTCAAAAAGAAAGTCAGAAAAGAACTCGTTCAAGTCCCGATATTCGCCGTTCAAAAAATCCCGAACAAACTAAAAAACAAGCTAAATTAGATAGTTACTGGCTAGACAATCCAAACCGTTCTATATATAGATTTTCAGTACTAGAACTAGAAGAAGAAGAAGCTGAAGAAGTGATGCAAGATGCCAAAAAGCCAAAAGAAGTTATGCTAGCGTGCTAGTGGTACAATCACCTGAATCTATTACTTTTCCAAAATTTTCGGATACAATGCGCGAAGTTCTAATAGTAGTTAAGCAAATGTTAGAACAAATCAGTATATTGATGAATATTCTTGTCACGGTGACAACTAAATCATGTCCGACAGTGAATTAAATACAGTCCTCTGGAATGCGAATGGGCTGTCAAAACATTGTTTAGAGCTACTAGAATTTTTGAAAAATCAAAAAGTAGACATCATGCGAATATCTGAAACACGTTTCACTTCAAAATATTATTTTAAAGTACCAGGCTATGACTTTTACCACACTATGCATCCCGGTGGAACAGCACATGGCGGAAGTGGCATTTTAGTTAAAACAAGCATATCACACTTTGAACTGCAACAATACCGCACTGAAGAGATTCAAGCAACCAGCATTTCAACAAAAGATTGGTGTGGCCCAATCACAATAGCATCAGTATATTGTCCACCAAAACACGCAACTAAGACGGCAACATATATACAATTCTTTAGAACTCTAGGTAACAGATTTATTGCGGGGGATTAGCATTAAAATGTTAAACACGTTGAATGGGGCTCTCGGCTTTCAACACTCAAAGGACGACTGATCCACTTTTTTCCATTTTTGTAAAAATTCACGATGTTGTCTGCTTTGAACGGCTATCAAACACCAACTGAACGACGTAGCTCGCTCAAAATTAGAAAGTTGCCCACTGGTAGATTACAGCTGACAGCAGCACTGTTGCATTTGGAGTAACTGCGCGGGAAATTCAAAAATTCACTGACTTATCACACCGCCCTCGTATTTTATTAATTTTCTTGATGTTTTTTTTTATTAAATGAAATTTCTAATGATATGTTTCCAATGAATTTAAAATGGAGAAAACATATAGCATGCTATTTCTTAAGAAAAAGTTGTTCACAAATAGGTGTTATTTGATGAAAACACCATAAAAAAACGCCATCAGGTAATTCCACTAAATCAATTAAAATTATTTTGAAATGCAATTGATTTATAACAATTGAATTTGTTTGGCGTTATTTTTTAAAAATGTGCGTTACTAAAAATAAAGATATTAATTGAAAGTTTCCAAATTCAGTTATACTGTCGACCATATGTATATGTATATGGATATAAGATTCTGTATAAGTTAACACCCTGTATTACTATAACGGCACTTTGCCTGTATACACAATTCTATTGCGCATTAAAATATCTCAGAATGCCTACTCGCCTGTACTTCTTATGGCAACTTTCATACTGCAAGTATCTTGTAGAAAACATATCAAGTATCATATGAAATACTTGATCGATGAGATATCCAAATACTAATGGATATTAATCTCTGGCTAGTCATCTGGCTATTGACGTCAAAGCTAAAGAAGCTTGAGAGGCGCTGTAGAAAATAGAAGCTCCAATCCTATAGAATGGAGACAAGAAGTTTCTAGAATATTCTGATGAATTTTAGAAGCCATAATTCGATTGATCAATTCAATCCTGGAATTTTCATTAACGACTTTGGACATCAGAAGGAAAACTTCTAAGAGTCAGTCATCATGAAAAACTGGAAGAAGACAAGTCGCTGTTCGGAATAAAATATAATACGTCATTGGTAGTTGCTTGAAATTCGTCTAAAAAGTTGTCGGAATAAATTTAAAGATAAAATGAAATATAAAAATAAAATTATATTCAATACTAATGATTCTTCTTCTTCTTGAGTTAGTGCTATTACGCACTTTTACTCTATAATGGCTGGGGGGGCTTATCTCTACCCCACACTAGGCTTTAACAAAACAATGTGGGAGACAAAGGCGACCCATGAGGAACACCTGCTACTATTAATCGGGCGGACGAAAGAGTGCTATTAATTTTAGTACGGAAGAACCTTTCTTGCAGGAAGCTACCACTGATTTTAGTCAATCCACTAGGGATCCCAAAACGCGCCAATTTGACTATTAGACCATCATGCCAGACCTTGTCAAAAGCTTTGGCTATGTCAAATATAATCATCCCGGTTGACTCCCGTTTACTTAGAGCAGTTTGTATCAGCTGCGTAGTTCTGGCTAGTTGTAGTTCCGTGGAGAGATTATCCCTAAACCCGAATTGTTCGTCAGGAAGTATATTTAGGGCATTCACCGCTGTTTTAAGCCTAGTCAGGGTTACTCGTTCTGCCAATTTCCCCATAGTTGGGAGCAGACTGATAGGACGCCAGTTCTGCGGAAATGAAGGATTCTTATCCGGTTTAGGAAACACTATGACTGAGGCCATCTTCCAGGCCTTTGGAAATTCGCCAAGCCTAAGCATGCAATTGATGATGTTAACGATGCATTGGATTGCGTCTTCTGGAAGATTATGTAGGCATTTGTTACTAATATTATCATATCCGGGTGCCGATCTGGTCTTTAGACTAGAAATGAAATAATACAGTTAATCTCATCTCTGGAACACTGTGAGATGCTTTCATCTGACATCAGGTTCCTAAGATTAGCAGCCTCTTCAGCAATATTTGCTTCTTCCAGGGAATTATAGTCACTATCAATATTGGGCTGAAATTGCAGCTCCAAAGAATCTGCAAAGGCCTCAGCTTTGGCTATGTCTGAGAAAGCCATGCCGGTAGAAACATAAATAGGCGGCACTACCGGTTTACGTTTAAGCCTAAAATACTTGTTCAAAGCCCAGAAGGTTTTATTGCCTGTAGCAATTCCTGAAAGAAATTCGCACCATTTATCATTATTATGTTTGCCAATTTTTTTCCTGATTACGTTAGAGAGACGATTGGCTTCTCTTCTTCTCATAGGATCTCCAGTTATTTGAGCAAATTTTCGAATCGCATTCCTTTGTCTAATGATTTGTTTGATGTAATGCGGCAGATAGAAGTAGCTACTTGGTTTTCTGGTCCTGGTGATGGAGCTATTATCCAAAGCCTCTTTAATCTTGAGATTGAGTTTTTGGATACAGTCATTAAGATCCTCAGAAGTTACTGGCCAATTGTTTATATTTGAAATATCAACCTGATTCTTAAATGAGCCCCAGTCAGTGGTTATGTACGTGAGATTCATGTTGATTGCTGGACAATTTTCAAGAATAAAAAGAACTGGTTTGTGATCCGAGTCCAGTTCATCAAGAACCTCTATGTGCACGTTCGACTCTAAGTTATTTGAAATTCCGAAGTCAATGACGTGGCCTGTCATTCTGCCATAATGTGTTGGTTCACCTGGCGCATGAATCTGCCATAAGTGTTCAGTGGCGAGCCCATCAATATCCCTGCCAGCTCTGTTTGAAGTTCTGTCACCCCAGCTGCTATGATATGCATTTAAGTCGCCCGCTAAGAAAGTAGGTGTCTCTTTGTTGAGGATAACCTCAAGTTCATTAGGGAGAATTTGCAAACTCGGTGGCCTGTATGCTGACACAAAATTTATATTTCCAAGTTGACTTTCGACCAGTACAGATGTTGTTTCGAGCGATTGTTGGTTGTAAATTGTAGCATGATGCTTAATGCCTCATGGCTGTGCCACCACCTCTTCTTGAGTATCTATCTGATCTGTAAACAACATAGTTGGGAATTTTAAAATGGATAGCAGGTTTCAGAAATATTTCTTGAATCAACATGATGTCAATTTCAAAATCATGCAGGAATTGGATGCTTTCATATTTCTTGTTAATAATGGAATTGGTATTCCACGTCACAATTTCAAGTCGATATGATAACAAACTCATTCAAAAGTTAGAACTTTGTAACAAGGACTCCATCATAGTTTTCATCATTGAATTGAGTTGTATCTGCATATTATTTAAAAGGTTCTCCATGTGGGAGGTTAGCAAGTGGGAATTGGACGAAACTTGCTGAGCGGTACTTCCCTTCTTTAAAACATCAGCATAAGAAATTGATGGCTGCACTTTAGAACTGACTGTAGAAATACTAATATTAATAATATTTTATTGAAAAGATAAATTTGAATATATCTAAATAAAGATAAATTGTATAAAGTAAATATAAGAGTTAAATTTTAAGCTTCATAAATAAATCATATCTTT